CTAATTTGATCGTGTGTTTGCTGATCGCGTGGGGACTCCACGCGGTTTAGCCAAAACTTTCGGAAATCGATTGAGTAAACTTTGGATGTTTGCTAGGATTTTCGGGGTTGGGGGATCATAAAAAAGGATCACATAAATCGGGTGGCAGATTAGTAGTGAAGGCAACCGAATATGAAGTAGAATCATTTGGACTAGAAGTAGGTGAAAAAGTAAAAATACCATAAGTAGGCACATTAGACAAAGTAGATTTGTACTAGACGCAAAAGTAGAAGGCACACCTTGTGCTTGTGCCACTTCTTGCAGAACCGCATTGCATTGAAGTAGCTCACTTGGGATTCACTTTTCTTGCCTAGTAATACTGCGCGTTCATTTCCCGAAGCATCATGCACCGCAAAGAGATCATACTTCCACTCAATCCATTTGCATTGGGACCGTAGCGTTGAAAGGGCACTTGTCAAGTGCATAGAAGTTGAGTGCATGTGTGACTGTCTTATCTTTGTCAAAGGTAGTGCGCACACCTTTGATCGCATGCGTTTGGCAAGGGGCCTGCAACTCCACTTGCGTCATTCCCAAGCCCACCTTGCGTATTCTGTGTGGAGACATGAAGTTAGTAGTCGCACCACAATCAACCAAGGCGCGGAGGTAGCGGTGGTTAACGAGAAGCTTGAAGAGGATTAATTTCGTTGTTCCTTGAGCACGTTGTTGTTTCATCTCAGCCCAATGCTCAAGGTGGTAGTGGAAGTTAACCTTTTAGGACTCCTCCCAAGGCTCATCATAGAGTACATATCATGCGTCAGCCTTGGAATCAGCAGATGGCAGGGCTTCACGAGAGGACTGTTGATTTGCGTGCGGTTCAGTCTCCCTTCTTGTAGAAGGTGTTGATGCCAACTCTACGTCCGATTCGGGTTTCCATGCAGCCTATAACAACTTTGGACTTTATGGTTGAATTTCAAGCAATGCATGCAAACTCCCTTCTTGATCCTAGCCTTCCATTCACTTTCGCAGATCTGGAGGTCCAACAAAGGTTTGGCTGCAGCATCCTCCGGCTTAGTTGGGATCTTGGTTCCTTTGGGGAGTTGGACATAGTTCTTCCCCGAGTTCCGATTGGTCCCATCACATTGACAGACTTTCTAAAGGCATCAAGTTTTTCTTCATCATTCTTAATATCATATTCATGGATTGAAGATGAACAAGTTATATCAGAGTCTTGCTCGTGATCGTCATCAAGAGTGCGGTCATCTGTATAGACCTCCTCATCAGCCTTCAGCAGGTCATGCACAACAAAGCGGTTGCTGCCTCTAAACTGCTTGCCGCCTATAGGCTTCTTGCTGCCTGTTGTGGAAATGAGGTCATGTGCCTCGAGGTTGACTACATCTTGCATGAGGGAAAGCCAGTCCGTGTATCCAATGAGGTCTTTGCCTGAGCGATGTAAGTAGTGGGAACAACACCTTTCACAACATCCATTCATGACTGTGCAGTCATATCCAACCCGGGGAATAGCAAAAAGTTTGGTTACATACAATTGCAGGTTGTACATGGTGCCCGACCACTTGCTGCGCTTGAGATTGTCAAGCTTGTTCCTTACTCTAGCAGCAGCATGTGGATCTTTGTATTGTTTAATCAATTTCTCTTCCAGTGCGGCCACTGCGTCGGATTAATCCTAGTGTATCCGGCTTGCATAGCTTGGACTTCTAAAGAGCCCCGTACGACGGATTCGACGTTGGTCACCAAAATCAAGGACTGGCTCATCAACTGAGTTCCCAGTACCTTGAAGTAGGCTCTCATGGAGCTGATCCAAGACTCCACGTCTTCCTTGCCGTCGTACTTAGACGACATTTGTACCGCCTTTCTGTCCACATAGGGAATGCTATAATCGGCACCAGCAAATGTTGTGTCTGAACTCAAGGCTGCGGCAGTTGCAAGAATCCCTGCACTATCACTTGTTGCAGCGGCAGTGGGGTCTGCACCTACTGCCGGTCTCGATTGAACCACACTTAGAGACAAAGAGGTAGAGGTATGGAGGAGCAAAGACTGACTGGTTAGCAGCATTGGAGGCAGGAGGTAGAGGAAGAGGATTCTGAGTCCGGGCCTGATGCAGACTTGCCATCTGCCGCAGTTGACTTACCCGGCCAAACAATTTGGATATCTGACCAGGCATTTCACTTAGCAAATGACAGTCCATGAGAGCACACACATACTTTACCTGATCTTTCTTGACCTCAGTGTCAGCCAAGGAGGGGACTGTTTTAAAAACAGCCTCATGGTCCGCAACAACGGTTTTCCACTTTTCCTCCTCTGCCTCCTCACAGAACATATTCAAGCACAAGAACGAAATCTTTCCAAAGAAGAAGATGTGTGGTCCTGCATCTTTCTATACGCCTTTTTTTTCTTTTTTTTACAACAAAACAGGGCTTTATGGTCCTGGCCATCTTTCTTTCTTTCTTTCTTTCTTTCTATACCCCTACCAAAGAAGGATTGTCAAATCCCCCTTCTGGTCTACAGTTATTCACCCTTGTACAAAGAACGGCAAGAATAACGCCAATGAAATTAGTACAGCACGCAGGGATTACGATCCCCGATGTCAGAATTGCGGCTGGCATGAATTATGAGAATTACAAAGTATGACATGGATTACCGATGCCCAATGTGAGAATAGCGCTACGAATTGCACCAAGTTGACTTACGCCAATGCGCATCAGGGGAAGAACTACGCCAATAAGGATTACGGCATGAATCGCCATGCCCAATGTAAACTGCAGCAGGAAGTACGCGAACGTGGAAGAGGAGCATGAGTTAGACCAATGTGAATAACGACATGCATTACATGCAGCTACTGACTGAGAGGGCATGTACAAATCAAAAAGAAGAAAAAACACAAAGCGCCAAGGCAAAAGAAAGCAACGACGGCGCCCTCCGTCTCTGCCTTTCGTTTTTCGTTCTATGTTCTTCTTGTTTTTCTTTTCCTTGTTTTCAAAATGTACATGCATGCACATTTACATATCTTTCACTTCATGCGCGTCTAAAACTCTCTCTAAATCTATCGATTCCGAGATAGCCGTATCCCTCTCTCGTTGCCGTGGTGACACAAATACAGGACCGCCGCCAATCCACTGTCACGTTCATCTCAGAGCAGAATGCGCTCATAAATAAATGACTTGATATGCTGTTACATTCTGCATTACACACGGGCCATTCCAGGCCCGACGAAAGGACCGAGGGGCTACAAAGGGCCTGGACACGGTAGTCCAGGCCGGTCCGGCCCAAGACCGGACCCCTTCTTTTTCCACAGGCCGCCCCATAGGCCCTTGGACAGGCCCAGGCGGGGAACGGTCCAAACGGCATTACCGTTTGGACCTGGCGGCCGACTTTGAGGCTGCCCTCCCCGGGTCTGATCTGAACCGCAGATCGGACACAAAATCTGACGGCTCAGATCACGAGGCACTTTCGCAGCCTCAAGGCCGAACAGGCCACCGCCGGTACCGATACTTAGGACCGACCCGCGGCCTGTTCAGGATCTTTTTTTGGGTCCACCATCCGGAACCACGGCAGCAGTTGAGGAGCAGCACTGCGCTAATCTTGGATTAGTGCAGCTCCGAGCGCAGCAGCGCTGATTAGCGCTGACTAGCGGTTGGAGGTGGCAGACGGGCACTTACCGGCCTACCTGCGCAACGACAACCGCCTCTCCACATCTCCAGGTTGAAGCCGCGGGTCTTCAACAGCTCCAAGGCGCCTCCTTGCACCTGCAGGTAAGGACCTTGGTACGGGATCCGGGAGTGAGGACTCTCCTCCTCTCTACTTCGCCATCTCCACCTCTCCTCTGCCCTCCTCGGATTCTTCTTCTCTTTCTTCTTCAGATCTTCTTCTTCGTCTTCTTCGGACTGGAGACTATTGATACGAGTTGGACAGAGATCTGTGATGGGATTTCGGTGGCAGGAGGACTTGATGCTTACCGGATCTGAGACATCGGGGGATATTTGGGATTGATACCTGGCGGCATTACAGATCAGACATCAGCTACATTACGATTCTGTATCTCCAACATTGGACTTATGTCAATGCCATTTAGGCTACTACATCGGTGACATTTTGGTATTCTATTGCGGTGCCATCTGGCGCTGTCCCAATCTCCCACTTCCATCGTCTCTCCTCCCTCATTCATCCGTGTATCGTTGTACCGGGCTGAAGTATAATCTATGTTATGGCTTCAGAACCCACCACCTCACGATTGTTCGTGTGTTGAGTGATGTCTGTGTGAGTCAGTCCATATCTCAGACTTCCGCTGCATATATGTTCATCCTATATTGGTTGATCTTTGGTTCTGCCCATACTTGGTGAGGGTATTCACTAATATGCAACATATGCATTGCAACGTTGAGTGTAAATGGCAGACAATATATGTGTGTGTGTGAAGTGTCTGTGTGAAGTGTGTGTGTGATGATGTGTGTGTATGTGTGTGTGGTATGTGTGTCTGTGATTTCCGATTACGACTCGGCGCCCATCCGTACAGAGGGAGGGAGATCGTAAATCGTGATAGAGCCGGATCCATAGTGAGAGAGGCCCTTAGATACACCCTAGGTGAGAGAAGCACGGAGCTAAGAGGCGAAGAGAGGGAAGGGGGGG